TGGGTTTGCCTGAGGAGATAACCGACCACGCACTTGCGGTTATCAAGTCATTCTCCGCTAAAATGATGCACTTACCTGAAGCTCTCTGTGAGAAGTGGAAGAACAAGCCAATCGCACAGAAAGAGGAAGATGAGGAGCTCGAGTGGCTCAGGACGAACACTGACCCTTTCACTAGAGTTCACAGGGTAACTTCAGGGATGGGTCAGGGCATGTTCCACAGGTTCTCCAGCTTGATACACGTGGCCAAAGATGACATTTCGGATCAGTTCATCAATGACTACCTACGGTCGAACGGGGTCAGCTTCGAGTCCAGAACGATGGTGAGCTCCGACGATATGATGAAGCAGATGCTGATAACTTCGACGTCCATGAAATCCCTCTTGAAATCCATCGATAGCCTCCTAATCATCTATGAGGTCACCAACAGACTTAGCAACATACACATCAATTGGAAGAAAACCGCGTTGAGCTTCATAATTGACGAGTTCAACAGCTATTTCACCGTCGGGAACAGGGCATGCTTAGCGGTGATTAAAGATGTGTTTACCGCGATGGAGCCCGTGGACTTGACCGAGCCCTTGCACGCGGTATCTGAGGTGCTGCAAAACATCTCCAGGGCGCTCAGAAACGGGGCGTACTTGCCAACGGTGGAGGTGATGACTGTTTCACGAAGAAGGACGAGAACCATCAGTACAACAAGGACTTTATGATGCTGTCTGGGTACGAATTGGGAATCAAAATGAAATCGAACCCGAAGTATGTGACTGGGATTCTAAAGGTAGCGACCGCCAACCTCCACGATGCAATGATGATGACATCCTCGCTGAAAGAGTGCAAGATCAGGACAAAGACCCTGTTCAATTCATCGAAGAAGGTCAACACAACGTCACATGAAATTCAGAAGAGATTCAGAATCCAAGGAGCAGAAGGACAAATTCAACTCCATTACCTTTTTTCCGAATTCCTCCAAAATCAAAGTTTCCTTCAATGACTCCTCCTCGGTCCACACGTTCACAAGACAGAATGCACCCTCCAATGCAGTGAATGATTCACGCATTTTTACTATTGAAGTATTAAAATATTCACTCTCACTTTTTGATAGTGTCTTTATTTCTCGAGTCCCGAATTTGTTGACCAATGCATCGCAGACTTTGATATTCCGTGTCACGGCGCTCTTTAATCCGCCATATTGGCGCACGGAATAATTCACTGACATATTAATAAAGAACTGCCGACTGCGCCATGTAAGGTCTTGACGAAGACTACTTTATTAATGTTTATATACACAAATACAAAGAACTTAGGAGAGGGGATTTGGATGATCCGGTTGACTTATAAGATCTCAAGAAGTATCTTATAAGTCATGACCACACACCCCCTATATGTAAGACCTCAGCAGGCAATAATAGGGGGGCTCTTGTGCAGAGACTCGGATAAAGCCGAAACCTTATACGCTAAGGCGTTGTGGGCGAAAACGGATACAGGCGGATTGGCGTCGACTGCCCAGGGACACAGGAACTATATGTTCCTAACGGAACGAGGACAGAAACACACCGACGCAACGTTTTGTGCAGCAATCCAAATAATGGCAGGAGCGCCATTAACCAAAGCCAAGAGAGCACGATTCACCCAACTCCCCAACGGGAATAAATGTGAATCGTGCGGCGATAGGGTTAAGAACTTGCAACACATCCTCCAGGTGTGCCCAAGGGTCAGAGGTGCGCGGATTAAGCGCCATGACCAGGTCCAAGCCCTATTGGAGGGGTCCCTGAAGGCCAAAAATCGGAAATTCCACAAAGACAACATTATCCCCATGGGTGGAACCGTGAGGAAACCTGACCTAGTGATAATAGACGAAAATAAGATCAGCGTCGTAGATCCGACCATTGTCTCGGATAGTCTCTCTCTTCACGAAGCAGAGAATAACAAAGCCGCCACCTATAACACCGAGGAATTCAAACGGGCACTCCTAAAGTACTTTGAGTGCGAGGAGTCCCATAAAATCGATCAGGTGGAGGTGGTGCCTATAGTAATCAATTGGAGAGGCGTAATGTCAGAGAGGACATACAGGTCCCTTATTAAGACCGTTGGAATGACACCATCATTTGTCAAATATGTCCAGCTAAAAGTCCTGACCGCCTCCCATATGATATATAGGGAAGAGAGAGACAGACCAGACAGGGATGTCTGAACTCTCCTATGTAGCTCCGCAAAAAGACGGCAGTTTATCGAGGGATGCTTTTAGCGATAGTTTTTTTTACCTTTTAACAGCTCTTAACACCCGACCAAGATACCTTTTAATAGCTTTTATAGACTAGGCTTCTAAACAGCTTTTATATAACTTTTAACATACTTTTAACATATAATCATAATGACTGGACAGTTGGGGCCGCCTACCATGTGGGTAACCAACACAAATGCGTCTTTTAATGATTTTATGATCTTTTATCTGTTTTATAAACTTTTAATGTTTTTAACGACTGGCCAAGCTTGAGCCGCCCAAAAGAAGTGGGCTTCCAGCAAAATTTTATCTCTATTTGAATATGATATTCCTTATGTATATGTATAGAGTGTGTGGGTAGGGCGACTGTTAAGTTGCCGCCATAAGCCCGCACACTTAAATAAACTGTGCTTCCTTATGGACGGGGAGCGCCCAGACTTGGAGTCAAGCGCGGGCAGATATATTGTAACCAATGTTCCTAAATCGAAATAAACTACTTGTCTCCCCCCCCCCTCTTTGGACGGTTCAAGCCTGCAGAGAGAAAAACTATGGTAGGGCATGCCCAAAGGAGTTATGTCCTATAAGTGGTTTTTGGTTTTGGGCAAAATGGTTTGGTCGATATCTTGTGATCTGCTGGTCCTAGGATCCCGAGACGAACGTCATTCGGTCTGCCGTTGAAAACTGCAGCGATTGGACACATCACATCCTCCGACCTCTCGAGGCTGTGACCGACCTCCGACATTCTTCGTTGAGATTATCGAGTGGGAGCGCAAAATTCTTGGGTGACCCGGATGCTTCAAGCATAAGAAGATTATTGATACCAAACGAGGGCCTAAAGGAGGCGAAGGAGGCTCTGTTAACCCCTGTAAAGCAAATACCTGGAATGAGGAATATCCCCAACTTCTCCGACAATTCTTGAGTATAAAACTCCGCTGAAGGGTTTAGAGAATCATGAAGGACGCAAAACGTCTAAAATAGAGTCCCTGGGTCTTAGTTTGATTCTGGAGATCCCTCTAGCCATAGAAAGTGGATTAAATATGTTCCAGACATAGACACTATCTAAAGCGACGCAGGGTATAAAAAAGTATTTGACTACCAAAGTCAGAAAACCTGTGAGTCACGAAGCTCCGAAACTCCGCACTAGAGAACTGAGGGTAAGTCCAAGCGATAGAAACATGTTGCAATGTGGTACTTGACTAATCATGGTGCATCTCCAAAACACCAAGGACGGAAACTAAATGTTTCTGACTAACTTAACTAAACTAACTGAAGGAAATCGATTCGATAGAATTTACCATTTTGTAGAAAAAACAGTTGGAGACAGTCGAAGAATATACCAATATACAAATTACAAATCCCAAGTTCGAACCCAGTGTAGAAAGTGAAATGTTGGATTACACTATGCAACAAAAAATTTGCCAACGGCCAAACCTTTCAAAAATTGATTCTATGGAGTCCATGCAATGATAAATTGCTATTTCGAAAAATGGGTTTTTGTTTTTCTGGCCACAATTAAAATTTTAAAATTTTCATGTTTTAGGCCAATGGTACATAAGGATCTATGATTTTCAGGGACAAGGCAGCAATTAACATTAATGCATTGCTGATACAATTTCGAAGAAAGATCCAATAAATCTATTGGTTAAGTATATTGATATTAATCCTTTTGTTACGGAACGAAGAAAATTTTAACAATCCACGAAACCTTTAGAACGATGATCATAGATATGAGGAGCATATTGATCTGCCAATGAAATACTTTTATAGTGATCTTTTTCATTAATAAAAAGTATATATATAGTTATATATAAATATATACAGGGTGATTCACTTAAATTGAGACTCACATATTACAAACTACAATCTTTGTATTAAATTTTACATAAATAATTTTTAAACAAAAATGATAGCACAATGTGTAATTTACAAAATGTATTTCAATAAATTTTCACATATCCTCCTTTGGACTTCACTACAGCTTTGAACCTCCTCATGGTGGAGGCAACACAGGCAGGAATCTCTTCCTCAGACTAAGATTTTCACGGTCCAGGCCACCCACAACAGTCAGAATGACCGGTTTTTATCTTGAAAAAAGGAAGACATCCCCGTGCAGCTGAGGACTCTCTTCAGAAGGCAAAAGCCACCCTCAGTCATGGTCTGAGCTGAGAAGAGATTCCTGCCTGTGTTGCCTCCACCGTGAGGAGGTTCAAAGCTGTAGTGAAGGCCAAAGAAGGATATGTGAAAATTTAATGAAATACATTTTGTAAATTACACATTGTGCTATCATTTTTGTTTAAAAATTATTTGTGTAAAATTTAATACAAAGATTGTATGTAGTTTGTAATATGTGAGTCTCAATTTAAGTGAATCAGCCTATATATATATATCGTTAAATATAAATATTCACCTATATATATATAGTTATATATAAACATTCATCTATATATATAAACATTTATCTATATATATATAAATATATTAGCTAAAAGTAGAATAATGTTATCTATTTCATGATAGGAATAGATTTGTTTCTTAATAAAGTATTTCTCGACAAATGTATTTTTGAGGTTTTTAAAATATTTAAATGAAATCTTTTTGTTTTTTTCTTATTGAATAATGAAATAAACACTATTTGAACTGTTCTACTATGATTGCCCATAACATTCATTTGCCGTGATAACTTAGTTGGGAGATCTTGAGGTCGCTGGTTCGATCCCGGCTCGCGGCATTTTTATATTAATTAGTTTATTATTAGGAAACTTATTTTATCTTCACAAAAAGGCACCGGAGAGATTCGAACTCTTGATATCCTGTGTACTAGACAGGCGCTTAACCCAACTAAGCCATGGCGCCATGACAAATGTAGGGTATTATTATACATTATTAGATTATGGACTGTAGAAGAAACAATTTCATTATCGTTTAGTTAATCAAGAAATAATGTATTTATTTGAAACAGGTGTGTAGTAGATGTGCCTGAATATCAACATATTAAAATGATATAATTATCCTCAGTGAAAAAATATGGACACAAAATATAAGTCACCCAACATGGGGCTTGAATCAGTCACTCCTCTCAGTGATTGCTTTCTTTAATAAACTTCATAAGGACCCTTAGCAATTCTTAGCTGAAGAAAAGGGAAAAGAGATGTCTTCATGCTGAGTTTCTTTGACATTTACTTAAAAGATTATCTAAAAACTCCTCTATAATAGCCTCTACCTTTGCCTAATCAGAGATGGGTCTTTTGTTACGTCATCAATTAAGTCTGTGTATTATATGTACATGATAAACAACAACATATTAAAATAAATACAGTTCTTTTCAGTTAAAAAAAATATGAACATAAAAAATATAAAAATGAGTCGCCCAACGTGGGGCTCGAACCCACGACCCTGAGATTAAGAGTCTCATTTAAGTCCTTTATTTCAAAAACACGATAGAAATATACATGGCAAAAAAAAAATATATATATATATAATAGACTAAAGCCACAACAGGCAGTCATGGCACGTGTATGCTAAAAGAGCATGGACGTGCAGCTCCCTGCCATCAGGAGCACTAAAAGAGGTGACAGAGTCACGACTAAAAACACAAGAACATGGAAAAAGGGAAAAAAACAAATAAAAGCAAACAACAAAATAAAAGTAACCTAATACTTTAAAAAAACAACTAGGACAACAAAATAAATTAATTTTACTCTAAAATTACAATTACAAGATATAAAAATATCTTAAAACTTTAAATTAAATTAACTTAAAAACAACACAAACAAAAGACAGTGAAAGGAAGGTGGAAGAATCAAAACAAAACCATTAAGCATCACTCCTCTCAGTGATAGACCTCTCCTTTTTATAGACTTCATATGAGCCTTTTACTATTCGTAATTGAAGAGAAGGAAGGAGAGAAACCTTCATATTTAGTTTTCTGGACATTTCCTTAAATGACTCCCGAAACACAACGCCCCGCCAATTACAGACAAAAGGTATCACTTCGACCTTATCAACGTCGGAGATGTTTCTCTTAAGATGAGTGAGAAGGGCCTCCTTAAGCTCATTAGAGGCATATTTCGTCATCTTATCGTTGTGGGCATCTTCAAAAGCGCGTTTATCGCTAATAATAGTGGGATCGACCACATAAACCCTGTCACCACGAAAACAGAGCAAATCCGGCTTCCTCACTGTGTCACCCATTTTTATAACATTATCTCGCGTAAAGACGATCTTTCGCTTCCGAAGATCTCTCTCAATAACGCCCTGGAGATCGTCATGCCGGACAATCCGTTGAGCCTGTGACCTGGGACACATTTGAAGAATGTGGTCAAGGTTTTTGACCATCCCAGGACACGCTTCACACCTGTTACCTCCCTCAAATACAGAAAAGCGGCTCTTTTTCGATTTTACAAAGGGGGCACCTGAGATAATTCTCAATGCAGCTGCAAACTCACTGTCTTTAATAAAGAACTTTCCTGAGTTGAGGAACATGGAGTTCCTCTGACCCTTCAAGAAGGATTTGCAGCCTGCAGTGTCCACCTTCATATATAATTCCTCAGCAAGGGCCTTCCTTGCCTCCAACCTATCTGTTACTGGCCTGCCATCTACCCTCACTACGGATAGCCCAATCAAGTCTGGGCAAACCTTTGCTGAGGCTTTCACCAATGGGTCATTCGAATTAACAATTGCCTTTGCCAGTTTATTTTGGAGGGTGACTATTTTTGTCTTGAAGTGGAGCAGGCCAATTCCACCCATGGCAACAGGAGCGTGAAAAAACTCAGTAGGAGTGCATTTAGGCAGCCTGGCAAGGGACCTAATGAACTCCCGCGTTAAATAATCAGCAGTCTCAACGTCTCTAGTGCCAATTCTCCCAAGGAAAGTTCATATACGAACTTGGGGAGCAGAAAATCTCTGAGGCATATATATATTTGTGAAAGCTAGAGACGTTGGACTCTGAAATATATGAAATGCCCTTCCTTTAGTACTGAGTTACATTTGAAATTTGTAGACCCGCAGGGCGATAAATTAAGCCCAGATACCTCTGTGTCTGTGTCATGGCCAATGGCACCTATAAGGAACCAGCCATGGAGATGGGAGATCGGTTTAAACGCGATCCCATAACGACACAGAAGTAGCTGGACTTGGATGGATTAGGCCTAAGTCCTACCTTTGCAGACGCAGCCAGAAAGTTATCTAAAAAAAATTGTAAGCCATGCTTTGATTTACTGACAAGCACCGCATCATCAGCATATAAAAGAACAGACAACTTTTCTCCATCCATCTCATATGGGGAGAGAGCTGTCGAAGTTAAAGTCAAAGCCTCATCAAGGACCATGTCCAGGACGAAGTTAAAAAATTGCGCTGATAATGGGTCTCCCTGTAAGACTCCAGAGTTATTTTTAATATCCTTAATTCCACCTATGGAAGTAGAGGCATTGTAAGGATATATTTAAAATAATCAATTAGCGGTTCAGGAACTCCCAACCTCCGACAGGCAATGATAACAGAATCATGTGATACACTGTCAAAGGCTTTGGAGAAGTCAAGGAAGATACCATGACATGGCACTCCCTTGCCTCCGCGTTGATTAGATTTCTTTAAAATTGCTTTCAAAATCGCATTGTTCTCGAGACAGCCGTTGACCCTCCTGAAACCCCGCTGGGAGGAATCAATTGGGGCGCAAGCCAGTCTCGAGGCCATCACGGTGATAGGCCTATAATCAGTTGAAGTCCTAGGGTCGTCAACGTTCGGTATCAAAGTTGTGATTGCTTTCAAAAGGTCTTTGCCCAGATAAAATTGAATTATATTTACTTAAAATGGCTGGATCCGCATTGCTAAAAAATCTACCATCCACTCCCATTGGGTCTTTATTTGCATCGATCTTAAGAAGGGCTAATTTTACTTCCTCCGGGACAATTGGAAAGAATGAGTCATACTGAGTGTCACAGATCGCATCTATTGATCTGCTATCCCCAATTGACTGTTTATTTAAAATTAAAGCCCACTCTTGTGCCACATCATTGGACACACGGCGGGAGGAGAGAAAGGAGCTCAACTTCCCCTCACAAATGGCTCTCATAACTCCGGAATAATCTTTCCGGAGTTCAGCCTCAATCCTCTTCCTCGAATGACGAGATGAGGTGGGGACAGTTACTAACCCATTTCTCTCCCTGTAATTAAAAACTGTAAAATCAATTAAAATGGATAAAATATTCTTAATGGATGGAGAAGTGTCCATAGCTCAAAATGTTGATAAAATATTACAGTCACAGGGATAAACAAACTGAGCACCCAGCAGAGCTCTCATTCTTTTTGGAATTGGATTAAAACGTTCCCGGAGGTCATTTTGATGAAAAGAAATTCTAAAAGTAAATGAAATGATATCTTTAGGAGTGATCCGATCCGCATTCCTAATTGTATCTTAATTTGTTTAAAGAGTCAAAGTTCAGGCGGCGGTCATTTTTAATTAATAAGGTCTTGGAATAATCCGAGACCTTCTTATTTTGGATAGTTAAGAGCCGCCACCTATGCCTTTCTTGATACTCTGCGGAGTCCTCAGATCGGGTCACTGCCGTAACGCGGGGCTCACCAGATCCCAAGAATTCCAGGACATTTGTCATCGAGAGATCCCCTGCTCTCTGAGCAGCAAGACGCGCTAGATCATCAATAGAAGACATGTTAAAATTTGAAGATTCAGAAATAACAGCCTCAGGTATAGGCTCCTCAGGTTGCCCAACTGGCTCAGACAATGGAGCACTAGGAGTTGGGCATGTCTCAACTTCGTGTGGACAAGCTGTGGAAACTACAGGAGGGACGGAACTATTTTGTTCACCCTCTGTGGTGCTCAATACATCTAAAGAGGCCTCATCCGACAAAGAACCAGTCGTGGACAAGTCAATTTTACTACTTAATTTACTAGTACAGTTAAAATTCATCAGCTCATCAGTGTTCACTGAGAGCTTGGAGGTGTTAATAGCAGGAGACGACATTAAAGACACCTCCTGCATACAATTAATAGTTGAAGGAGGACTCACTTGAGGTGAGACCTCATCATAAAATTGAAAATTTTGAAAAATATTGAGATCCTCAAGAAGCCATCCTGCTTAAGGAAATGCAGAAGTTAAATATTTTATTTTTGTTGCTTTTCGAAAACTAAAAGGTGGTGGCGGTATGTTACTTTCATTACTTAAAAATACTAAGAAGGAAGGGTTAAATGTCAAAAATTTAGTCAAGAGACGGAAAATAGTTTCCGCTCTTAACTGACTTAATGTTTTGCGTTTAATATTAAATCTTCGCGAAATATTTTCGAGAAGAACACATTCCTGAAACAGGCCACCATGTGATAACCCCTCTACTTTCGAACTTGCTAGAAAATAAATAATTTTAAAAACCTCCAAGTCCTCAGGAAGGGACTTCAAGGAGCTGATTACTAGAAATTTCTCCCTATAAATAGGGAGACATCTAATTAAAGAAATTGCTAAACCAGAGACTTTAATGTTATTCATTAGGAGTCCAGGAATCCTGCATTCACTAATGCCACTATTGCTGAGTTCAATTTCTCCTGCAACTGTGGTTAAAATACTATTAATATTAATTTCATCAAATAAATAAATCGTATCCCTATCAGAAAAAGGGGCCAATCTACTTAAGACTTGCTCAGCCTCGTCATTAAGGCAATTCATTAACACAGAACACTCATCATGGGAGCAATTATAGTCTTTACTAAATGTGTCTGGAAGACCTAAAGTAGGAGAAAAATTACAAAAGTCTCTGGGAGTATCAGAAGGAATTATAATCGGCGAGGATCCAGAAAGCATAAAATTACTAGAAGAAGCAACAGGATTATTGACAAGACATTCCTGGCTTATATTACCCTGACTAATATTACATAAAACTTTACCAGAGCGAAGTGTTCTGGGAGAAAAGGAGATATCTTGATCCATCTTATTACTGGAGGAGTCACCTGACATATTGAAGTTAATTTAAATTAAAAAGATAAAGGAAATGGTAATAAAAGATAATAAAAGGAAAAGAAAACTAAAAGTTAAAACAAATAAAGACCAATGTCTTCCACAAAGACCCAAACGGAAAGAGTTGTCCTAGAGGAGAAGGGGCGAAGAAACAATAAAACAGAAAAAAAAAACAACAAAACAACGGCAGAGAGAAAAAATAAACAAAACAAACAATAAAATGGAAATAAAAGACAAATAAACCAAAAAGCGTGAAAAATCAATAAAACAAAGTACCGTTGTGGTCTATAATTCCGAAACAGCGGGTCAGACGGAGACGGGTCGAGGAGAGAGAGGGCGAAAGGACAAAACCAATGATATGCGTGACGCCAAGGACGGCCGGAGGCTGCGAGGTCGCGAGGTCTCACAAAATTAAGTTATGTCCACGCTGAGGCCAAATAACAAGGTCCCACGTCTCTCCGACGGACACCGGCCGAATGGTAGACCAAAGATG